AGGGATATCAGCAGGTTCCTGGGGGCCCAAGTGGGCACGGGAAACTTGTCCGTGCTCCCATTTGATCCTCTGCCCTCCCAACGGTTCTCCAATTTCCCCCTTCGGGCGTGGGATCCCTTCCCCTCCCCCAGCCACCTCTCAGGGACGCCAGTCCCGTCCTGCCTCCACTTCTCCTCCACCTTCACTCCCCACCATGCCCCACATTCTACCCAGTCGCTGGGGGTCCCTCCCGTCCCCTTAGGTGTCCATGGTCCCCCTCCGGTGCCTGGTAGGTGCCCTAGTTGTGCAGAGACCCAAATTCCACGTCCTCCTAGTCCGCCATCTTGACTCCGCCCCTACATGTTAGTTTTTAAGAGTAAATCCTAAAAGTTCTCATCAGAAGAAGAAATTTTTTTCTATTTAATTTTGTATCTGCATGAGACGATAGACGTTCACTAAACTTACTGTGATAATCACTTCATGATGTATGTAAGTCAAATCATTATGCTGTACACCTTAAACGTTTTCAGTGCTGTATGTCAATGATATCTCAACAAAACTGGAAGAAAAATTCGTGAATAAATAAATAAGGGAATGGAGACAGTAAGTCCAACTGATTGCAGCTGAGAAGTCCAGTATTTTATCTTTCAAACTACTCTTTGAAATGGATATTGGATAATATGTATGTCTTCACTGGGTTTATTATTTGTTTTTAGATACATATTTTTCTCCTCTAACCTATAAACGTATTAAATACTACTCAAGTATTTTCTAACATTAAACCTTTTGAAAAATAGGAATAAACTCACCTGGTCTGGAAAAGCAACTCTTTTTGCATTCTCTAGGAGCTGTTCCCCAGCTGAAAGGCAAAAAGAGCTTCTCCCCTCTATGCATATGGTGACCTGCCATACTAAAGGAAACAATTTTTTTTAAAGCTTTTTTAAACCGTTTTTTTCTTAATTTCTATATTTTTTCTTGTTTTCTTTTAATTTGTATTAATTTATTTGTTTTTGTGATTTGGCTGTCCTGCGAGGCATGCAGGATGGTTCCCCGACCAGGGATCGAACCCAGGCCTCCGCACTGATAGTACCAAATCCCAACCACTAGGCAACCAGGGAACTCCCTAAAGAAAACATTTCTTATTCCAGCTCTCATCTTTTTTTTATTATAGTAAGAATCAGATAGGATAGCATCCTTCCTTTTTTTTTTTTTTTTTTGGCTGTGTTGGGTCTTTGTTGCTGCAGGCAGGCTTTCTCTAGTTATGGCGAGCAGGGGCTACTCTTCGTTGTGGTGCACGGGCTTCCCATAGCGGTGGCTTCTCTTGTTGCGGAGCACAGGCTCTAGGCTCACAGGCTCAGTAGTTGTGGCGCATGGGCTTTGTTGCTTCGTGGCATATGGGATCTTCCTGGACCAGGAACCGAACCTGTGTCCCCTGCATCAGCAGGAGGATTCTTAACCACTGCACCACCAGGGAAGTCCCAACTACATTTTCTTTAATTTTCTTTTTTTTATATCAGAAAAAAAGAGAGAGAGAGAAGATTTCCAACTAAGCTGGATATCAAGAGTTCTATGTTTTAGAACTTTAGGGTTCAATTTATCATGCTTTCAAAAGTTTGCGCAAGGCATACAACAGAGGCCCTCTTTCTGGATGGGTCTAGCCATTTACCCTAGGGGCAAAAAAAGAAAAAAAATAATACCCTCCATTATTGCTTATATTAGCCCCTGAATATTAGCCCCCAGTTTTTATTTTATACTGTGTGGGCTCAGGTAACCCTATTGGTTTCCTTTATGTTTAATTAATATTGCCTGAGCAGCAGATTTATGTGCCTGTCTTATACCAGGCAGAGGAAGCATTCCCTAGTGAGACATAATGCCTTTCCTGATAGGGATAGAATAGGATAGTTATACACATAGTTGTAGAAGTCCCAATAGGGGACTATACATAGAGAGGGAAACCTAGGAAAACTTTGGGAGACCACTGTAAGTTAATGATCACTCAAGAAAGCTATTGGAACTTGTGGAACGAAGCAGCCTAGCTTAACTATAAAGCCATAAATAAAAACACCAAATCCCAACCACTAGGCAACCAGGGAACTCCCTAAAGAAAACATTCTGGAGATATGCCCCAGGCCATTAGGTGGAAGAAAAATGTTACCACCTTTCTACTGATAATCCTAGTTTGCTCTCATAGGGTCAGACACTCTCCAGCCTGATACGAAGGAGGAACTAGTGATGTAAGCCTCATGTCTACTCGAAGAAGGGGATCTTTTCCCCTTTCATGTCGGAGTCCAGCTCCAACGAGTCCAGGGAAACCTGAGGGATGGACGGCGTCGGCGAAGGAAATGAGACCTGACACCCTTGTAGATGTCAGCACATTAAGCTAAATTTATTTTTTAGAGCAGGTATTTATATGTAGGCAGGTTTCATCATCATGTACAAAATTTAAAAATCTTAACATGTTCTAACCTCAAAATGTTTTTATCAGTGTTTTGAAAATGTCCCCAGTTTTTAGATGTACTAACAAGATAATTTTCTAAGTTTTCATTAGTTGCAGGTTATTTTCTAGTAGTTAAGCCAAGCTATTACGTAAGTTTTTATTACAGAAGTGCAATCTTCGTGTTCTTTCTGCATGGGCAAGTTTTTTGAATAGTGCCTTGAAAATATTTACAATTTATCCTACAGTTCCTGTGTACCTGACTCCACTAGTAGCACTTACAATACCTCCTACGCTCCTGTTTATCACCTGGCAATTGTTGCCAGAGTATTAACCTTTCTTTATAGTGGACCCATATGAAAGCAAAATCATCAACAACCCCTTCGTAGGGCCACTGTTGTTCTATTGGGGGTGTTTTCCATAGGAACATCCCTATTATTTCCAGATTGTGTATTGCGTTCCCAGTTTCCTGCGGCCGGAATAGGTACTTTCCATTTTGTGGTAATAATAGTAGGGGGGGGGGGTAGTAGTTTTTCTCATTTTCCTAACCCTGGGCACAAATCCCCCTTGTGCTGTTTCCTTAACACAAGCAGACTTAACATCAATAGAGATGTAGTCCACCGACCTGGCACAGTGCTGCTTTGCAGTCCTGCCTTTGATTGCATCATGACTTTGTCACAGCGCAGGGACTCCAGGATGGCTTCCAACACTTTCCCTTTCCTTTGACTATAAAATCGTAGCCCACTTAATCCTCAGGGCAGAGCTCCCTCGCCTGCCCGCTTGCATCTCTTACAAGTGTCCTATATTAATAAATCTACTTCTTGCCTATCGCTTTGCCTCTTGCTGAATCCCTTCTGTGCTGAGACACAAAGAACCTGAGCTTCAGTAAGTCCAGACACTAGGTGAGTGATTCTAATTAAAAGACCATGGGTTCAAGTCCCAATCAGGGTTTTGGCTGGGTTCGAGTCCCGACACGGGTTCAAGTCCCAACCTGAGGTGCACAGTTTCAATCCCACAATCTAATTAGGCAAAAGAGAACTAACCATCTTGTATAAAGTCCATTCAAATATACCAATTTTTATAAACTGTCACCTCAATTCTATCAACTCTTATACCTTTAATTTTAGCCTTGATTAGGATCCCATCAACAAATCTTCTGAAACAAGAAGTCTCAGAAATGTACGTTTTATCTCCAGCCATTTTACCCATTTTTGTATAAAAGGCTCTGAGATCCCCATTGAGGGACTGAGCCAAGGGACTCAGGCCCTTTTGTCAGTATTTAACTTGATTTATTATCCTAACTGTCCCCAAGCAATTACTGGTCAGGTATCTCAGTGTAATTTTCTTGCAGGCTTTGAAAAAGTTTTTTTAATTGTGGGAAATAGAGCAGACTTGTTCCAGGCCCTTTAATGTTGGGGGAACCAGCAGGGGATCCCTTTGTTCCATCCAATCCTAGGTGTGTTACCGAGTCCAAGCTCACTCTGCTCACCACACAGGCCAATAAATCGGACAGGAGGCGTTGAGGCAAGGAAAAGACTTTATTCTTCGGAAAGCCAGCAGACCAAGAAGATAGCAGACTAATGTCTCAAAATAACCATCTTATCGGGGTCTGGATGCCAGTTTCTTTTATAGAACAGAGAGGGGGAGGAGATGAGGAAGTAAAGTAAAAAGGCCATTAGTTTTGCCTGGCTTGGCCAGCGCTGGGGAGGGAATGTGTTAATTCCTTCTTTTCTGCAGCCATTCACAGGTGGGTAGGGTCAGATTGCCTCCCTGTGAGCTGAACAAAGGCACTTTAGTTTAACATTCTGGCAGAGGGGCAGGGTTCCCTGAGGCAGGCCACTATGTATGATTATAATAACAAAAGCAACGAAAAGCAAAGGTTAAAGTCGAAGAAACAGATCCGAAGAGTCAAAATTCGCTCTTCCCTGTTACAGGTGGTGTTGTATTAAAACCTTTGTTTTAATTCCATTAATGTCATTTTTATTTATTCCATTTCTTAATAACCATCTAAAGATGTCCATCCTGGACATCCAATAGATGCTGGAGAGGGTGTGGAGAAAAGGGAACCCTCTTGCACTGTTGGTGGGAATGCAAATTGATACAGCCACTATGGAGAACAGTATGGAGGTTCCTTAAAAAACTAAAAATAGAACTACCATATGACCCAGCAATCCCACTACTGGGCATATACCCAGAGAAAACCATAATTCAAAAAGACATGCAGGGCTTCCCTGGTGGCGCAGTGGTTGAGAGTCCGCCTGCCGATGCAGGGAACACGGTTCGTGCCCCGGTCCGGGAAGATCCCGCATGCCACGGAGCGGCTGGGCCCGTGAGCCATGGCCGCTGAGCCTGCGCGTCCGGAGCCCGTGCTCCGCAACGGGAGAGGTCACAACAGTGAGAGACCCGCGTTCCGCAAAAAAAAAAAAAAAATTCTTACAATAAATGATTTATTTGCTTTCATTTATATAATATTTACTATTCATTAGACCTTACTATTTTTCATTTCTCTTTTTCTTACTTTCTCTGTATTTAAAAAATTTTGTAAATTATTTATTTTGGGGGGCCTTGCCATGTGGCATGTGGGATCTTCCCCAACCAGGGGTCGAACCTGTGACTCCCTGCGTTCAGAGCCCAGAGTCCTAACCACTGGACCACCAGGGAAGTCCTATCAGAATTTTATAATCAGTTTCTTGTATGGAATTCTTTGTGTTTGTTAAGAAATCTGTTGAACTTAATTTTTGACAGTTGATTAATTTTGTGACTTTTGAACTTAAAGATAAATTTCCTCCAAATGTTTTTTTTTTTATTCAGTCTGAAATCTTCTTTATCTGTAGATTTTACTGAAAAATGTTTATTTAGTGACCTAAATAGACATCAGATTTTCTTTGGCATTTGTAGTCTCTGTGGTTTGTAAGAATATTTAAATTTTTCCTTGAATTCCATTTATTGACTGAGTTATGTTTTATGGTGTTTGTTATTAGGAGGCAAATATGTAACATTCTATTTCAGTAATTCCCAAATAAAATTTAATAAGTAGTCTCTATATATTCTATCCCTCTTAAGACTTGTAACTAAAAATTTGTAAAACTGGAGGATACTTTACATATATACACACATATATAAAATGCATATGTATATTGTATATATGTATGTAACATATAATATACAAAAACTTTATAACTCATCCCCCAATTTATAGATAATAGTGATCTCTTAATTTTCTTTGGGACAGGAAGGATTAATTTGATAAAAGGAGCAATAAGACAATGGCTGAGGATAAAAAAAATCACTGAACATGTTTTGCCTGCCTAAAAGCAGTTCTATAGATAATTATTTAAAAAAATTAAAGCCTACTTAAGTTTATATTAAAACTGCAAATACAATGTTGAAGTCATCATTAAACATGTAATGTTGAAATAAATGGAGATGAACTCTAAGAAAAAAAAAAAAACTATTATCTAGGTACTTCAGAGAGAAGCTAAAACAGAGGATATGGGGGAAGGCCTGTCCTAGGAAGGCCCCATAAGGTCCTGCTCCGTTACAAGTCCAGGATTTTCCTTGAAAACAATTTCAAGTCTGTTGTAATAGTCATGCACAAGTTTGTTAGTCCTTGAGTGCATGCTTTGATTTTATTCCAATCAACAGGTTTTGGGAAGGCCCAAGGAATGGCTTCATGTAAAGTTTTTGGTATTTCTTTGGCTTCAGAGCTGTCAGCTGGCATGAAACATTGAAGATCCTCTAAAGGATTATTCCAGCTAGTTTTAGCCATCCAAAGTTGGGCGATCAGGAAACACAAGCTCATAGATTTGAATGACAATGTTAAATTCCTTTGCAAAATGGTGAGGGTTCTCAGTAAGCTTGGAAATCCCTTTGGCTATAGCTAGCAATTCTGCCTTAGTCCCAAGTATGTAAATCAGATTTAAAAGGGTGCTCTCATTATTAAGTTTCAATTTAAATGTATGATTTTGTCTATTTATTTATGTATTTATTTTTTGGCTGCACTGCACAGCTTGCAGGATCTTAGTTCTCTGACCAGGGATCGAACCTGTGACCCCTGTAGTGGAAGTGCGGAGTCCTAACCATTGGACCATCAGGGAATTCCCTAAACCTGTGAGTTTGAATTGGTTGAATGAAAGAGGTTGGGGGTGGAGGATCAAGGGAGGCCTCAGGGTTTGGGGAGTAAAAAGGGAGTTCAGCAAGGGAAGAGGAAAAGAAGGAGGGAGATGGGGGGAAGTGTGGAGGACAGACTTGAGGAGCTGGAGGGGGTGACAGAAGAGTTACCAGTCTTTTGTAACTGAGAAATCTTTTTCAGAAAGTTTAGAATTTGTGTCTTGGAAGGAACCGATTTGGGGATCAAAGAATTGTAATTCAGGTCACATAGATTCTGATAGCAACCTAAACAGCGTCCTGCTGGGGAGTAAAAGTCAGGAGCTTTTAAAGGCAAAGACGGGAGATTTGTATTACAAAGAATTTTAATTGTAGTTGGAGGCAGAAGCTAGTGTTGACTAAACAGGTTTGATAAGGCTAACACTAAAGGGAGGGGAAAGTCCGGTCCGTAACTGTAACAAGTTTCAGGTGTTCTTGCAGAGTCCTTGGAATATTTGTGGTTTGGCCCAATTCAGAAGTCCATGGTTCCATCCTTGTGTGAGGTTCACCTCCTTAATGGGTTCCTGGCTCCATTTTAAAACCCCTTGACATAAGTGAATCTATTTTATTTCACATTTCACCAAACCTTACCAAGGTCTTACTTCATCCCCACTCTAAGGTTATAGGATACAACACTAGGCAGGCACAATTGTGGCCAACTATGTAAAATTAAATTTAAACTGTGTTTAGTTACATTTCAGAAGGACAGAGGCATGATTTAATGTGTAATATAGATTAAAATTTTACAATAATGGAGCAGGCTATCTTCCTAATGTTAGTCACTGCCATCTAAAAGCATTTACCAAGTTACGTGCAAGTGATTCCATACAGCATGAACTGCCAAGTAAAAAGCCTTTTTAAGTACTGAGGGAGTTATAAAATAAGATACTATATAATACAGTCCCTGGCTTTAGCAAGCTCAAATCCAGAAAAGGGATAAAATATGCAAAGGGAAGCTAAGTAACATTGCCAGCAAGAGTTCAGCTAGTGGCTCTAATAGTGCTACAAGGTCAGAAGAGAGAGAGGTCTGTAGGGGCTCCAGAAATGGAGAAAGACTAAGGAAGGAGGTGGGAGCTGAGCTGACTTGGACCCTAAAGGATGGGTAGTTAGGCCTAACTGAGAGAATATGGAGAGCAAATCTTAGCAGATCATGAGTTCGATTGCATGATAAACATGCACATGGCATCCTGGCTGCACTGCGAGGATTAATGTGGTGTGATTTATTTTCTGCTCTGCCAGTCCTCCTCTGCTCTAGTTATTGTCTCCACTCTGTACATTCAGTCATACCCAGCTCCTTCACCACTCCTGACCAAAGGGGCACTGTCTTAGCGACCTCACCCTCCCAAGTCTGGACATGAGGAATTTGACTTGCTATGGTAGTGTGAAAGAATTGCAATCCAAAATAGAACTGGAGGAGATAAAATGGAGAATCTTTCGCGTGTGCCCTCAGGAAGACAAAATTAAGGACTAAGAGACTGATTTCCCATAAATGACTGATTTATCAAAAACTGATAGTGTGGGAATTTTCTCAGATGATGGGGTTGGATCCGGAGATTGTCTCCTATTGACCTTGGTAAGTTTAGCCAGAGGCAGGCAAGGAAGAGGACCCAGATGGTATTGGTCTCACAAAGTGGACTGAATTGAGCTTTGTTTGCATGACTTGTTGGCCTGAAACAAATAGACTGCTAGATATTTTTCCAGCAAAGGTGGGATTATTCAGATCAGTAGAGAATCGCAATTCAGGGTCTGCAACCATGGCGAGCCACATGCAAGTTCCCTGTACAGTAAGGAAAGGAGAATGCTTTTACTGAGGGGAGAAAGAAGTTGGGAGGGCTATAGTAGACAAAGAGTCCGTGGCTTTTCATTGGCTGAGTCCTTTTCAGGAAAGGAGTCTTTCTTCTTCCTGTTGCGTTCTGCTGTTGCTGCAGGGTGTGAGAGCGCCCCCTGCTGGTCTCCCAACTCTATTTAATTGCGGTTTCTGTTTATTAATTTTTTTGCTTACTTTACAAGAAAATGAAGAAATCATAATATAATATTTTTGGTAATGTTTTTGTAATCGTAATAATCAGTATGAATTTTGTTAGTTTAAATGTATGAATGGCTAAGAGACCCTGATATATTAGAGAATCTGACTTACTAGACTTGTGATTTTAATTTGTTTAATTGCTATTCCACTTGTAGTTTTTTTTGTCCTTTTGTTTGTTTGTTTACGTATTTATTTTTGGCTGATCCACACAGCATGCAGGATCTTAGTTCCCTGACCAGGAATCAAATCTGTGCCCCCTGCAGTGGAAGCATGGAGTCTTAAACACTGGACTGCCAGCAAAGTGCCCCATTTGTAGTATTTTTTTTTTTTTTTTTTTGGTGGTACACGGGCCTCTCACTGCTGCGGCCCCTCCCGTTGCAGAGCACAGGCTCCAGACGCGCAGGCTCAGCGGCCACGGCCCACGGAGCCAGCCGCTCCGCGACACGCGGGATCCTCCCGGACCAGGGCACGAACCCGTATCCCCTGCATCGGCAGGTGGACTCCCAACCACTGCGCCACCGGGGAAGCCTCGCTTGTAGTATTTTTATTGGAAAGCTCTGTATAGGGAAAACTCTTCCTCCCATGTGTTTCTTCTTTACTCTGACACTACTATCACACTGACAACGCTTCCGAGACCAGATGTGTGGGATTTTTTTCCATGTCAAGCTATTCTGTGACACCCTCTGAGTGTCCAACAATTCAACTCAATTTTGACACTGTCTACCTGGAGATAGCATCAGATCCCACAGGTGAAGATCTCAGTCCCACAAAACTGCTCCTCTCCCCACTTCGGATGACAAATAAATGCAAGTCCAGGTTGTCGCCTGTGCTTCTGACCAATTGATTGACTCTAAATCAAGGTTCCCATGACCCCATCCTTGGTTTCGATTAATTTGCTGGAGCAGCTCACAGAACTGAGGAAAGCAGTTTACTTACTGTTTACTGGTTTATTATAAAAGGCTAAGATGAACATCAAGATGGAAGAGATGCAGAGGGCAAGGTATGTGGGAAAGGATGTGGAGCTTCCATGTTTTCTCCAGGAGCACTACTCTTCCATACCTGCAGGTGTTCGCTGGGTGTTAGAGAAACTCTCCTAATCCAGTACTTTTGGGATTTTTATGGATGCTTCATCATGTAGGCATGATTGATCATTAATTTCATTTCCAGCCCCTCTTTCCTCTCTGGAGAATGGGAAGTGAGGCTGAAAAGTCCAAGCTTCTAATCATGGCTTGGTCTTTCTGGTGGCCAGTCCCCATCCAGCAGCCCACCAAGAGTACCTCATTAAAAGTGACTAATGATACTGCTATCACCCGGGAAATTCCAAGGGATTTATCAACTCTGTGTTAGGAACTAGAAAGACCAAATATTAAAACAAAAGATGCTCCTAGTGCTCTTATCAACTAGGAAATTACAAGGGTTTTAGGAGATCTGTGCCAGGAATGGGGTGAGGGGCGGTGACAGAGACCGATATATATATTTCTATTATAAT